CTGTTGATAGGCGTCGAAGGTAAATGGTGGTTGGGTCTGGGTGCCTTTTTTTCCTCCTGGTAGTGGTGGTTTGAGTAGACATATTCGCTGAGCGGCTCAGCAGCAACCTTAAAGGCTTATAGTTCTAGGGTTCAGGGGGGGTTCGGGCCCTGTGATGAGACTCAGCGCAGATAGCCCGTTGTGCAGATTTGAACTTTAAAACAAACAAAAGAGTGATGAGTTAGCAAAAAAAAAAAAAAAAAAAGAGATCCATTTACTTATGTCTCTGGGTAATAGTTACTCAAACACTACTCGTAAAAGTACACAATGTCACTAAGACACTTTATTTTCCAGAACCACATATCGGAGACAAATACGAGTAAGAGTATACAAAGTTCCAAAGTTATTTAATGTATACAGATCTGAACTAAAATGAGAAACACTTAACTTTTCGTTTTCGTCCCAACATTGGCCAAAATATTTACACCGTTCCTTTACCGGCTAGAACAAAGTATTAGTTTGTTCTTACACTGCACCGCTCCCCTGGTGATACAAAGAGCCCCCCCTCCTACCCCGCCAGAAACTCAACGGAAAATCTGAAGACTCATAACGCTAAAAATCGGTTTCGATACCCGTGGTGGGCACAGCACAGATAGCCCATTGATTCATGCTTAACTAAAACTAACTGATACAAAGAAGCATTAGTTTAGTTAAAGTATAAACGGCATTCTTTCAAGTTTCAACGAAATGGAATTGTTTTTTTTCTTTAGCTTGGTGAAAAGAAAATACGCGGCCCTCTTTCCACCATAACGTTGTTAGTTGTCTTTAGCTAAACCTTTGTTGTGATAATTAATGAGTGAAACAACTGAGTTATATATTTTTTTGTGTGTAACAAATTTTGTGAAATCACATCGTTAAAAATAACAAGAAACTGACAGAAATATTCTTAGACCTCACGACAAAGAAATATAACAAGCACAACGCAGCCTTTAGTCTGTGATTTTCACGGTATAACAGAACAAGCACAACGCAGCCTTAAGTCTGTGATTTTAACGGTATTACAGTAATAAACACAACGCAGCCTTAAGTCTGTGATTTTAAC